CCTTCTAAAACACTTTTCCATAATTATTTTTTTTTTACCCCACAACACATGAAATCATATGAGATATAAAAATCGCATATTGAAATGAACCGCATAATTAACAATTATGCGAAATTTTGTCGTATAAATACCAATGCATATCTGAATCATGCACATAGTCAATAATTGTGTGAAACACATTCGCATATTTTTTAATCGGATATCCAAATTCACCGCATAATTTTTATTTGCGAAATTATTTCGCACATATACTTATCGCATATCCAAATTGATAGTCGCATATCTATGATTATGCGACATGTTTGTGCATATTTTACGACTCATGTCCAAATCGGACGCATATGTAACACATATGTGAAACACTTATGCATATTATGTAATCACATGTCCAAATACACATCATAATTTACCATATGCATGAAAGTTTCTCATATTAAGCTATTACATATCAAAATCGAAAGTCGTATATTGTAGGATTATGAGAAATGTTTTCGCATAGTTTACAACTCGCATATCCAAATCTATAAAGTCGTATATTAACGATTATGCATAACATGTTTGCATATTAACAAATCGCATATCCAAATCGAAAACCGCATAATTTATGATTATCTAAATAAAAAATATACGACAATAATTTTGTATATATATTTAACACATATCCAAATATATCGTCGCATATTCATGATTATGCAAAATATTTTCGCATAATTTTCGTCTCGCATATCTAAATCAGATGCATAGTTAATAAATATGCAAAATATTGTCTCACATTTTGTAATCGCATATCAAAATTCACCGTATAATTTAACATATGCATGAACGTCGCATATTATATAATCATGCGACTTTTTTTTTTTACATAATTTACGACTCACATATCCATTTTGTAACATCGCATAATTAATAATAATACATAATATATTTTCATATTCACAAATCGCATATCCAAATTGAAAGACGTAAAATTCAGAACTATCTGCCATTTTTTTCGCTAATCCATATCACGAATTGCATATCTGCCGAAAATGTTTCGCATAATATTTGTATAATTTATGCACCGGTATGATTGTCAGATTTTTCATGTAAAAAAAATAGGCATATTTAATATCAACCTTGCATAATTTATCAATGTGAGAACATATATCGCAAATGATTCGAATACTTACTTATCGCATTCATCATCTTATTTTATCTTTCATGCAAATTGGACACGTAAGATGTGGATTTTTTTGTCAGAAATTCGCGAGCACATCTAACTTGTTCTTATACCATACAATTGAATTAACAAAAATTTGGATACGAAATTAATTTCAATTTTATTTTAACGGAACTAATATACTCTTACTTCTATCTTGTTCGAGCATCCGTTCTACTTTCAAAGTAATTTGGTTTTACTTATTTTTTTTATTCGACAACGCATCTAACCCGTTCTTATACAATTGAATTACCTTTTTTTCGGATACTAAATAAATTTCAGTTTATTGTAATGAAAATAACGTACCTTTATTCTATCTTATTCGACAATGTTTGTTGGCGTCCGTTGTACTTTCAAAATAACACGGTGTTACTGTTTTTTTTTTCGGCAATACATCCAACTCGTTCTTATACCATATATTTGAATTAAATTTTTTTTGCAGATACTAAATTAATTTCAGTTTTATTTTAACGATAATAACACACTTTTACTTTTTCTTGTTCGACCAATGTTTGTTGGTGTCCGTTCTACTTCTATCTTGTTCGAGAAAATTTTTTCAGAATACTAAATTAATACCATTTTTATTTCTCACATGATATAGAGATAAAGATGGAATTCATCTATTATTTTTTTTTCTTCTCTTAGGGCGTGACTTTCTTCAATTTTCATGAGAATAAATTTCTCAAAAAAATAAAAAAAAAAATGGAGGCATTGTTATTAAGGGCAAATATGAACTTTTTATTTTTATTTTTATTTTTATCTTAGGGGTAGCTTTCTTCAATTTTCATGAGAACAGATTTCTAAAAACAAAAAGGAAAATGGAGGCATTTAAGGGCAAATGTGAACTTTTATTTTGTTCCCCTCAAAAACCAATTGAAAACGCGGCAAGATGTAGCGTTTCAATTTTTAGCTTTTGAGCACCAAAAAGGCAATTGCAAAAGCTACTTACCAAACAAAAATTTGACTGTTTGAAAAAAGTCAAATCAGTTAAAATGTTATAAAGNAGCGCCAATAACCAAATGCCCCCATCATTATATTTATGGCAAATTGTAATTATATAATGCTAAAAAAAACTTAAAAAGGCCTACTAATTTTGATCAATCTTATATTCTGATTTTGTATATAAATCTGTCAAAAAGAAATATTGCAAATATTCGTAATTACAGTAATAAATTGAAATGTTGAGTGACATAATTTATTCACTATATCATAATATCATGCTACAAATATTCCTTATATAACTAGTGGTCAAGTGAGAATTTATGTTTCCCTAAAATACTTTATTACGAAAATCTAATGAGTTGTGTCCATTGAATCACAAGTCACACATTCTCTTTCAAGTATAAACTCTATATAAACGGCCGGCCCATTCCAACAATTTAGCACGTGAATACTAAACAATTTACGATTTGCTAAAATGAACAATATGAAGATTCAAGTTTTGATTTTCATGTTGTTGATATTGTTTACCTCAACACAAGCGACATCTTTTGTCCCGACCACAGAGAAATCTTTCCAAAAGTGCTATGCTGATTGTCTGGTGCTTTGCGGGGGTGTACTAATTTATTGTGATGTTAAGTGTATGCGTGAGTGTTGGGGCAAATTCAAGCATAGTTTATCCTCGTTTGGCCCGGCTTCAGCTCCAACTGCGGGCCGACCAATTGTTTCAACCGATGAGTCTCAATAAAATAGCTTGCGAGGCAACTCATTATTGAAGTTAATTCATGTTATGGTGCCGTTACATTATTTTAGTTTTCGGGTAGTATTTGTGTTAACTATCATCGTATTGATATATAATATTATTTCTCAATGTTAATACTTATAGTAGAGAGGTTTATAGCAATGACGTGCAATTATTTGATCGATAAAAGTAGCCAGATCAAATATATTGAAAACACTCTTTATTGAAATGTCATGTCGGAATTTGACATTTGATTTAATGTCATCTCTTACGTAACTTTAACTACCGTTATCATAATATGAAAAAAATAAATCAATAAATGGATATCTATGTAATATAAAAATAAATATTTAGCATTGATATGAATTTTATTGTTTTTTTGTATTTCAAGATATATAATTGTAGGGCGCGTATTTTTTACACCCCAATATATACATGAATATTCTTTTACAAATTGTCTCATAATTTTTTTTTTCACCTCATAACTCATGAAATTTTATGCGATATAAAAATTGCATATCCAAATGAACCACATAATTAATAATTATGCGAGATTTTGTCGTAAAAATATCAACACATATCCGAATCGGACGCATAGTTAATAATTATGTGAAACACATTCGCATATTATTTAATCGAAATATCCAAATTCATCCCATAATATTTGTATGCGAAATTATTTTGCGCATAGTTAACAAGAATACCAAATACTTACGCATATTATGCAATCACATATTCAAATACACCGCATAATTTACGATATGCGAGAAAGTTCACATATTAAGTTATCGCTTATCAAAATCGAAAGTCGCATATTGTAGGACTATGTGAATTGTTTTCACATAGTTTACACTTCGCATATCCAAATCTATAACGCTATATAATTAGCGATTATGCATAACATGTTCGTTTTTTCACAAATCGCATATCCAAATCAAAAACCGCATAATTTATGGTTATCCAAATAAAAAAATATGCAAAAATTATTTTGCGTATATAGTTACCGCATATCCAAATGGATCGTCGCATATTTATGATTGTGCGAAATATTTTCGCATAATTTACGTCTTGCATATCTAAATCTAACACATAGTTAATAAATATGAAAAATATTTATGCATATTTAGTAATCGCATATCTAAATTCACCGTATAATTAACATATACGTGAAAGTATCACATATTTAGATATCACATATCCAAATTTAATGTCGTATATTTTATGATTATGCGACGTCTTTTCACATAGTTTATTATTCACATGTCCAAATCTATAACACTGTATAATTAAAGATAATGCATAATGTATTCTTATATTCACAAATCGCATATCCATATTGAAAGGCGCATAATTGAGGACTATCTGTCATTTTTTTGCCAATCCATATCACGGATCGCATATCCACTGAAAATGTTTCGCATATTATTCGCATAATTTATGCACCGCTACGGTTGTTTGATTTTTCACGTAAAAAAAAAAAGGAAAAAAAAACTTTGAATAGGGAACATATTTCGTAAATTGCATGTCAATCGGTTTTGCTATGGAACCATCGGATGGCTCGGCTTATGAAGCCATCCATAGTTATCCACAAATGGTGTATTGATATGTGTCCTGCAATAAATGCACATTGGACACATGTCAATAAATAAAGTTATGGATTGTTCCATAAGGGAGCCATCCGATGACTCCATAGAAGTACTGTCATATCAATAGGGATGTGTGGAGAAAGTTATTAAATCCATAGTAACGGATTATCTCATATCAAGCATTCGTAAACATTACTAATATAATAATTATTTATTCACGAAAATACTTCTTAGAAGTTCATTTAAAGATGATCTTTTCGAAAAGTGATTTTTCAAAAAGTGTCCAATATAAACTTCTTTAAAATGGACTCTTTGTGTGAATTACTTTTTCAAAGTCTATTTTATTATTTAAATTAAACATCTTTTAATTTATGAAATGGACTTTATAGTCAAAAGTCAATTTCAAAAGTGCTTCCAAACATGTGACAAATGAAATTAAATATTGGGTTAAATTTGACTTTTTTTTGAAACCACACACGAACAAAGAAAAAAAAATATACCCACACTTTTAATCAATTGTACAAATCTACAGTAAATCAAGTTCACACCTTCAGGCATTAAAAAATCTCGTATAGTATTAACACCCCTAAAACCCTAAACTTTTCTGGCGTCGACCGGAAAATACTGTAGAATCTGGGATACGAGATTGGTGGTACGGCGATGGCAGCAGCGGCGGCGGAGGAAATCGATTACGAGAGCGATCCAGAGGAGGCGAAGCTATTGGTGAAGATGCGGAGGCGAGCGGAGGCGAGCGACGATGAGGCGGAGAATGGAGGCGAAATCGTGGAAAAACCGCCGCGTGGGGTTGAGACCGATGATTCAGATGGTGCATCTGAGGGCGCCGCAGCGGAATACGAGGAAGACTATGATTTGGATGAGTATGTGGAGGAGGTAGAGGAGGCCAATGATGACGAGGAAAGTGGCAGTGTGAAAGAGTTTGCGGCAGTGGTGGGAATAGGTGATGCAGGGGAAGATGGAGGCCTCCCGGAGGAGGAGGAGGAGACGAGGGTGAAGAGTGACACTGGTGGTATTAACGAGGATAATTTGAATATTGAGGATAGGGAACCTGAAGGCGAAAAGAAGGAGATGGAGCCCTATTCCGTGCCTACAGCTGGGGCATTCTATATGCATGATGATAGGTTTCGGGACAGTGCTGGTGGACGAAACAGGTAATTTAATTTGTTCATTTTGATTTTGAGTGATTTCACTTAGTCGAATTGAAATGCTAGTTTATTTGAATGATAGAACGTGTTTTTGAATGTGGATTATCTGCATAAGGAATTCTGTTGCCATTATCTCTTGGAGAAAAGAAAAGAACGATTAGAATAGTTTAAAGAAGAATATAATCTGAGTTCTGAAGTAAGATAGGTTCCACAAATTTGTTTGTACTTAGACTGTATATATGCCTTCTGGTTAATGAATTTGAGAAAAGATTGCAAGTGGAATGCATATATAGGTGAAGGCCTATTCAATTTTCTTGTACACATAAGCCCTAAGCAAGGATGTCCCTGAAAGGAGAGGTTGAATCTATCTTAATTTCAATTACTATTAGGTTAAAGACCTCTCTTACACATGGATGGCAACAATTCCAATAATTATTAGCCTGAGTCTCTTCCTTTTAGCACTTGTGTATACATTATTTTTTGCAATTGCAAAAGATGTCTTGAGGTGTTTGATTTAGAACCCATATTGTTACCTATATAACTGTTCGAATTATTAATAAGAGAGAAGTGTACTATGCAGGTTCTGTGTATATTAACATGTCCTACCATACTGATTTCCTTAAAGTTCCTAGGAAATTCACTCCAATTATGTTGTATTTGACTTTTTTAGGCAGATGCTTGGAGGAAGAACGTTATGGGAGTCAAAAGATGATAGGAAATGGGGACATGATAAGTTTGAGGAGCTAACTTTGCCGGGAAGGACACGTGTAGAGGTGAATATTCTACATATGACAAAAGATGTATACTTCTAAGTTGAAGTGCTTCTTTTTTAAAATCAATTTGTTTTTCCTTTATTACTTCAATTTGAATTCTTATATGCAGCATAGGAGTGGTCCGCGTGGACGTAATCGAGGTCGTGGCCGAAATAGATTTGCCCAAGAAAATAGACCCAGAGAACTCACTAGTAATGGCACCCAGCATAACAACAATCAGGACAGTGCACCTAAGAGCTTTAGGGGAAGAGGACCTCGAAGGTATCAACCATCCTCTAAGAACAAGGAGCCTCTCACCCATGTGAAACAACAGTAAGCGAAAATTTAACGTCTCTTCAGTATATGTCGAAGTCTTCATATTCTCATTTTGTGCATGTATTTATTTGTAGGTCGTGGAAATCAAAAGAGAAAGCTTCATATGTTGGTTCTGAAAAAACCAGTGAATCTACATCTAGTTTGGGGCCTGATACGGTGTTGCCCAGGAAACAAATTCTTGCATCCAGTTTGAACATTGCTTCTCCTCCATTTTATCCATCTGGTTCATCCACAAAAGGAAATAGTGGCCCCAAAAACGGGGATTTTCAAGCTGGTGCATTTAATCGGCGTAGTCAGCCATCAGCGGTCAGTTTAGATAAGCTTTATATTGACGATTCACTTTCTGTTACTGCTGGGAAGTCTGCAAACACTGTGCCAGTGCCTTCATCTAGTCCAACTATGAACTCTGGTCGAGGAATAAGAGTGGCTCCACAGAATCAAGTCAACGGGGTAAATTCAGTGAACCAGCTGCAGGCAGTTCAGGGGAAACATAGTCAAAGTCGTGCTCAACCTTCTGCGCGGTTTACACCCCATGGATCACGAGCTTCTTCCCCACCAAAAACCAGTAAGGCTGGGAATGCAGTTGAACCGCTAGAAGCTGAATCAAACAGATCCAAGACTGCATGGGTCCCTAAAGGGCAAGTTATCACTCATGGCAGTGGAAGGGGGTCCTTCTTGTATGGCGCAGCACATGTTACGGGGGCCTCTGGCAATATAGGCAGTGGTCATGGAGATCCAAATTTCCCGGCTTTCTTGCCAGGTAATGTGCTTGAATGCTTTGTCTTCTTGTGGAGATCATGTCGTGCTCAAAATTTTTGCCTGTTCGGAAGAGGAAATAATTGCTAACATTTGTGCCAAGTCAGTGATTGAACATAGCCACTACCTTAGGCTTTCATGCTATATCTTTCTTCCTAAGCTGAATCTTAGAGAATTTAGAAGTTATTTTCCATCCTTTCTGTGATATCATGTATTGGATGTAGGGTCTGTATGGAGAATTTTAGCTAGTTCTTGTTTTGAGATGCCTATATTATTCTGGCTTGTAACAGGAGCTGTCAATGTCCTTCTGGGTACTAGTCGTATTATTTATCTTATTTTTTACCTCAGACATTATTGTGTTATCGGTTATTTAATCATGAAGTGTTCTCTTGGGCTGGGTTGGTAAGGAGTATGAAATGTAGCCATGTAAAATTATAAATGCTGTACTGATAAAACTATTTTGCATTTGTGGATATGGACATTATTCTTGTGCCTCTTGTTTCTTTGGTTACCACACGTGGAACATGGTTTAATTCATATTTGCTTGGTGGAATAGTGATGCAGTTTGGTGGTCAGCATCCTGGAGGAATAGGAGTTCCTGCAGTGGGCATGGCCTTCCCTGGATATGTTGGTCAACCACAGCTTGGTCGAGGGAGCTCAGAAATGACCTGGTTATAACTGTTCTCACTTTCCAATCTTTCCAACAAATGCATAAATTTGCTCTACATGGCCTGTTTAGATACAAACTTGATTATGATTGATTAATTATTTGGTGTAATTGTAAATCATGTTTTTGTTAATTTTCTTAAATTTTATTTATCCACCACTTGGTATCTTCATTATTAAGTTACCTTGCAGTCGTTTGGCTTGATTTCTATTTATTTTCTTTATAAGTTTATTTTACGATGCTATTTAGGCTACCAATTCTAACTGGTCCTGCTGGAGCAATGGGGGCGAGATATGGTCCCGCCTTTGCTGTTGATGGTTCGTATGAAGGTCGCTCATCTGGACAAATATCTTCCGTAAATTCTGCTTCAAGGTAGATAAGATAGTGCATGCAACCACATAATCTTATTCTTCACTGATTACCTAAACCACTTTGTTACCAATCTCTTTATATGTTGTTCGTTTGATATTCTTCCCCACCTCACTTATCCTTGTGAAATGTGAACTCATCTCTTATTTTCATGCATTTAGACATTTATTTACTTTTCTGCTGCCATTGTGTTATCTTATATTCGGAATGGATGCAGTAATTTGTTTTTGGTTGAATGGATGAGGTTTCTTCATGTCACCTATTTTTTGTCTGTAACAAATAGTAAGCCCAAATACTCTTATTTCAGTAAAGAACAGAATACAACAAATGTTGGGGGTGTGATGGAGTCAGCACAGAAACCAGGTTAGATACAATGAACTCTTTATTTGTCATAACATATTTGAAATTCCTGTCCCGTACATAACTTGTTAGTTTTTTTTTCAAGCAGAGCTTGGACATACTGACTTTCCTCAGAGGCAAAAGAATCCTCGCAGGCAAGTGGGTTTTCTTTAATGCAGCATACCGATAAAATTGAGATTCCTTCTACTGATGAAGTTATGGTTGATTTGCAGATATACAGAGATGAAATTTTGACCAGTGAACTATTTGCCAAGCCAGATTATTTCAGAAATAGTTGAAATCCAAATTTCTTCTATATGTTGGTTGTTGCGGAATCGATTGGTTGCGCTTTTAGTTCTACAAGCCTTTTCTAGGCCCTTTCTGTCCTCCAATTAATGATCTGGAGTACATATGGGCTTCCTCTTATTCTGAAATAAATTAGGTCTCTCTCTCTCTCTCTCTCTCCCTCTCTCTCTCTCTCTCTCTCTCTCTCTCTCTCTCTCGACACCTTCAAATGGTAGGACTTTTTAAACTGTAGGATAAATTGTAAAAGATACTTAATATGTTTCACACAATTATATAAATTTTTTTTGAAGTTCTGAGTACCGGCTTGAGGGTTATCAACATACTCTTGTGGTTTTCACTTCACGTAAAAATAGGGTTCTCTTTGAAATAGATGTCTTTTCTTTATTTCTTTTATGATCCCAACACTAAGAATTATCCTTGTAATTAAATTCTTATATGTTAGTTTGAAGGTGATTAAGTAAAGGGAAGCAACTATTCATGATTCATTGGTAGCTATTTTAACTCTTTTCATACCCTCGTCTTCAAGTGAATATTTTGATTGGTTATTTTAACTCTTTCCATCCCCGTTTGGCTCTTTTAACACTTTTTATTGCTTTTC